TTCACGTATGTTTATATCAATGTTCTCAATATCGTTTAACGTTTTTTTTATTCTTTATCAGCTATTGTTTGTGAGAGTGATATTCCATACCGATTATTGATATTCCATGAATCACCGAGTTTTATATTATTAAATTTGAATGATTCAAATCGGAAGAAATAATGCAAACTTAATATAAACTATATTTTTCGTCGTATAATATTCTGCTAGTTCTTTTTTTTAAAATTAATAACAAATTGGAATAACAATAAAAATATCTACAATTCTATTTTAATAAAATTTCTTGCTCGTCTTTATTTCAATTATTTATTTCATACTTCCTTCAAAATAACCTGTAACCTTTCATCCAGTCAAATTATTCAATAATTAATGAACTATGACATACAAATAATATAAGCGTATTATTTAGTTACTTTTTATGTGTATTTATGTCACTGTCTTAATAAAATATTTATTGATAGATCAATGTATAGTTGAAAATATCTGATAGAGATAATTTATTTACTAAAAAAAAAAAAATGTTGCCAAATAAAAATTTCATTTTATAAAAGATTAAAAATATACAGGATATTAATATATTCATACACGTTCGAGTGATCGATTCTGAAGATCAACTTTTGTATTTGTATTTTAGCTTCTAGAACAATCTACAGCAAAGATGTCCCACGAATACATTACATTCCCTATCAAAGCCATAAAACAATTTTAATTTAACTTCGTGTTGGCAACTAATAGAATGGCCTCAAGAACTTAAGTCTTTAAAAGTAGAAGCATAAAAAGAGGAGGAAAAAGATAAAATAGAAGAAATTAATTGTAGAGAAGAAATCAAACTAAACTTGATAAAAAATTGCGAGAGAAAAAAGTATGAATAAATATTTTTTCTTCGAAACACTAATAAAAAATACAAATATACAAGTATTTCTGACAAAGATAAAATAATTAAATTAAAAGCTAGAATCGTTTACAAGTGATCTATATTTCAACATATTTCATATTTATACGAAAAGATACGCGAAATAAAATATACGTAAAATTTTATTTCTAAAATAAAAGTAACAAGCCAAAAACTCGAAATAATTGATCACCTTCGTTTTATTCCAAATAAAATGTGCTCAAACTCGTCACGCGATTAATTAACACACGCTTAAATCATTCGATAGGGATCCTTGGCCGACTTAGCCAATTAAATTAGCGGTGTCACGCTGGATAATTTACTATTTCATCCTATTTCGTCCATATCCCCAACATTTATCTGTCATGTATCAGGCATAAAATCGCTTTAAATCCCGAATCTGACAGTCTTCCGCTCAAAATGGCTTCCATTCCGCATGAAAGACAGTCGCTCGTGGCAAGTATCGCACACTTGTACGAATTCGAAGACACACGTGAGGAAGGAAGCTGGAACGAGACGCACGAGACGCCACAGAAATGTGATTTCACGATTCTAATGTTCTGCATAGCGTGGTCTATTTTTTAACGCAATTGTTCCATTTGTTACAATTGTTTCGCAATTCCACGTGGAACGATTCCGTACATGAAATGTTCATAATAACGTGTGAAAGAATTATTTTGAAACTAAATCGATTTATGAATATTTTATTCGAATCGAGAGGTATTTATGAAGAATTTATCTCGATATTTCATTTTTGAGATATCGATAATGAACAATTTATTTACTTTTGAGAAGAATTTTGATTTAGATACAGCTTCTTTTCTAGATTTTCAATTTCAAATGATCAATTTTCAATTGCAAAACGAATTTTACAGTATCTTATAATAAATTTAATGTTGTTGTATAAACAATTTTTTGTTTGACATATATAGAATAGATAATTTTTCTATTTTCGCAAAAATAAATTAACACTGTTTCAGAAATCTTTGTGTTCTGCGAGGGATCTTTTTCGAGAAAATTGAACTTTTGAAAAATTGTAACTATCGTACTGTTGCGCGAGATTCACGGAAATTGCATTTTTCGTCTTAGTCTGTTGCAATTTCCTACGAGAACTATTTTCTTTATTTTGTAACAGATACGTGCTTAACTGATATTGTTCCAGTCGAATTATTTTCTTTTCTCTCGTTTAATTTTAACGAGATTGAAAAAATGCATATAATTCAACATTGCGTTCTTTTCGAAATGTTGTAATTCAAAAATCACGTTTAATTTAATTAATCATGTAAAATATTGCACGTACATAATTGTTTCGAATTATCAAGAAAATAATTCTATTAAAATTATTTACACGTGAGGACAATTCGAAAACGATAAAGATTCAACACAAATAAAATAAAGATTTAATAATTTCTCGCAAAAATTACGGAAAAAGAATTAAAAATTAATCTTTCATCGATCGAAATTCATCATGCGCAATTTTTTTATCAGTACAAATTTCTTACAAATTCGCTACAAATTAATTTAAATTACGAGACAAAAGATATAATTTGATATTAAAAGAAAAGAAGAGTGGAAAGATAATTATAAGAAGAAAGAATCAATAATTGCAGCATTATTGCCACTTCGTTCTTCGATTCGTTCGAACGAGCTGGAATAAAAATCTAGACAGTGAGTCATCGTTATTAGTTACCCTTTTGAAGGAGGAGACTTATTAAAACTTCGACGATACTTATTCTTTTAGGAATGGAGAAGAGGACACAACCGGCGCGTGTAAATCAGCTATGAAAGAAAATTAAATTTCTTCTCTGTTAGTCACTAATACATCCATTTTCTCTTCAACCAACTGTTAATATTTCTCTCTCTCTCTCTCTTTCTTTTTTAATCGTTAACGAGCAACGAATGGTCGAGTGGAATTTCTCGAAATGCGCGAGAACATCGACCTTCATCGACTGATTCCACATGTTCCCTTTTCTGCCCTTTAAATTGTTGAAACATATCGAAGCGTATCCAAGTATCGATTATACGTACAATACACGAGAATAAAAATTTTTAAATAAAATTAAATAAAATAAATTTTCACTAAGCGTATTTTCGAAAATTACATTTAATTTCAATGAATAGATTTTAATTTTTGGAATTGCAAAAAGCAAGAAGAAAAGTTGGCATGCAGAGATACTAGTCGATGTTTATTTAAATTATAAAAAATATAATTTTACGAAGAGAGAGATGAAGATAGAGACGGGGGTGATGAATATTTCTGTGTATCAAATTACAAAGTTTTCCATTGAACGTATCTTCTTTTCAAATAATATAATAAAAATATTTTCAGAAACTATATTTTGAAAAGTTAACGTGGGACGATAGATATTTTACGATTTAGATCAATCACTGCCAATTTAAACAATTACGCCTTACAATTTAAATAAGGAACTATAAATTGTCAATTCATAAGTAGTGAATAGTAGAATTTAATATGATTATAATACACCTTGTGTACTATAGTTACACAACGCGAACCAGGATGAACAAAGCAAGCGTGTCAGTTGCAACACAGAGAATTGCATATTACCTTGACGAGTTTGTTTCACGAGCCTGTGTATACAATAATATCATTCGACTAGTTAATCCCTTAATCATCAAATACCATAATATCAGTCGTACAACAATTGTGAATTATCTTGTCAATCACGAGAATAAAGATATTTTCAAATTCTGAATTAAACGAAAGCGGATGCTTTGTCTACTCGATATTGTCGTTTGAATGATATCAAATGTATGCATGATGGTATGCACTAACTAGTATGCATAATGCATGGATGACAGAGTATTTGAGATATAAACAATGGCAAATGGTAGCTTACTATGCATTGGTTGTGATATCTCGATCGTCATGGTTGATTGAATTAGTTCTTTCCAAAATTATATTTATTATGCAAATTTAGATCAAGATGTATTTATTAATTCAATTATTATGCATATTATAATCGAAGAATTTTTCGAGTAAGTTATTTATATCTAGGAGTGGAATAAAATTGGAAAAAATTTTATTCACAGTCTTAGGAATTATTTTTATGAAGGAATTTTATCGATAAATTTATTTTTAGTATAAATATTTTGCGTTGTTGTTATAGCACGCAAGAAAAATGATGCGTTTATTGTTGATTTATTGCGACGCATAACAAGCTTAGAAAATTTCACGAAGAAAATATAATTATTAATTATCTATTCAAGATCTATTATTGAAATGTCACAGTCGTTAAAAATTACATAATGCATAATGATGATTCAATATTTAACGAACGTGACATAATATCTTCAAGTTCTAAATTTAATCAGAGTAAAAATACACTCTTGGTCGTTAGAGGATAATATTAAAAGTTATTACATTTTTAAATTTACATAAACATAACTTTATATTAATATCTCATAAGTAATCTCATAAGTAAAATATTTTTCAGAAAAGTTCCTCGAAAAATTGTGTTTTATATTAGAAAACAATCTAAAAATATTATTTGACAAGATAAAAATAAATGTTGATGTTGAAAATTTATAAATAAAAAAAAATTCAAATTAAGTAATTCAAAATAAACTAAATAATAATTCTTCCAGCATTATGCTATAATATATTGTATAGATTTGATAAAATTACTCAATATTAATTTTAATATAAATATTCCGATATTATAATTGGAAACAAATTGAAAAAAATTTTACTCAAGATTGTTCACTATGAATAAAGCTTTTCTTATAGAAAATTCACTACTCTCTGAAATCTTGGCACAAAGAACTAGCCAGACCATATAAAAAATTCACCTTGGCATCTGCTAAGCAAATAGGATATTTCAGGAAATAGTTTCAACGTCATGTTCCCTTTGATACTGTACGACTTTTATATATATATATATATATTTATAAAACACTTTTTCATAGAATACATAATTTAAAAGTTATACAGAATGGACAAATATGATTCATCTCATATACAAGAAACAATGTCTTTGAGCTACAAAGTTAAAACTATTCTTCTTATATAGAGAAAGAAAAAAAAATAGAAGAGTTTTTCAAGGAGGAATAAAAAATTCATGTAATCAACTATCTAATCTTTAAACTTCATCCTGAAAAATATAAAAGTTTCTCATATCTGTTAAGAAAATCTTTATGGATTCTTTAATGAATGGAGTGATTTAAATCTGTTATAAGAGTGGAGCAAATTTATTTATATCAACTTTAGAAAAGTTCAACTTTTAATTTAAAAATAATTACTTTTTTCAGAAAAATTTATTGATTTATTGTTGTTTTATTAATCTAAAAATATTTTCTTTTATATGCAAGATAAAATTTGTTAAAATTACATCATCATCTACATTTAGTTTATATGATATCGAATTCTTGCATCACAATTTACACAACAAACTTCTCAAATATTATAATAACAGAAAGTTTCAGATTATTTTTCTATCAGTTTTTACGATCGAATAAATCAGATCTGAAGCGTCAAATTCAATTTTATCGTCTTTCGTTCATGCATTTGCATGCATCCTATTAAGGATGGAGTAGAAATAAATTTACTGCGATACTTAGACACAATACGTTTGTAATTAGATCGATTTAATCGGATCTTCTGTTTCGCACTTATCGTTCAACAATTCTGACTCAATCGAGAAACCATTCCATTTAAACTCCATTTCTGCGTTATTTCTCGTGAAACTTTATTTTTTCCTTGACATTTTTCAATTTTACTTCTTGCCATTGTATATATATTGTAAAAACAAAATATAAGACAATCCAAACTTAAACAATCCATTTAATAAATTTTTATATACAAGCGAATAAAAGATCAATTACATAATTTATAATTTCACAAAAAGATCACAAAAATCTTCATATGCTGTTGTACAAAAAAATTCACGTATTTTGAAAAATTTAATTTTAAAATTTGTGTCCTTATTGTCTTTATTTGATGAAATGTCCCGAATAAAATTCAACTTCTTCACAATTTGGAGCGATTTCAATTTGAACTTTAGATTATCTTTGTTTCGTATTTTTCATTGTTATCGTATATGTTGTGTTTCATTATTACTGCAAAATTGTATCGTGTAGAGGAAATTTCGATCTACAAGGTCTGAAGAGAGAATTGGAAAACGAATTTGAAGAGTGACAGAACTTGGTTCGTTAGGTTCTGTCGATTTTTAGATTGGTTTTTATGCCACGCATCAACCTCGACAGGATGTTTAACCTTTTCGAGATTGACGAGCCAATACGGTCTGAGATAATTTTTTAAAGAATCATTGATATTAAAATTTTTCATTTCTTTTTATTTTACAGAAAGAAATAAGGAAAAAAAAAATACAAATGATTTTCTTATACTTGAGGTTATTAAAAGAGAAGAAATAGATATGTTACAATCCTTCTATTACGTTTGTAAAGATTTGCTAAGAATTATTTAACGTATTCTTTTAAATCTAGTTCAAAAATTCATTCAATGTTTTACAAAAATTTCGATTCTAATAAAATTTAATACAAAGAAATTAAATATATTAATTTAAAGATAGAAAAGTGAAATAAGACAATTTTTTTAAACAATAATCTCTCATCTAAAAAAAAATTTTAAATATTTAGATTTTTGTTTGTTCTAAAGTAAAATAAAAAAATAAATAAATAAATAAAAAACAAAAGATTCGATCGAGACGAATGCAATATAGAAAAAGAAAAATATAAAATCTGTAATATTTTAGAAATTTTAAAATAATTGATATTGGAGGATATATAGAATGATATTGCTGCTTATAGGTTTATGAACTATATGGCTGATTGACAATCCCCATAAATCCTCATACGTGATCTATCAAACTTGTATTGGTTAACAGCTAAATAGGACGAAACACTTGAGCTTATCAATAAAGCTTGTTACGTGGAAAACGTGAGTAATTTTTCTTTACCTCGAAGTAATTTATTAAAGCTATTTTTATTGTATGGATTGTATGGATGAAATATATCTTAACTTATTAATATCATAGAGTATAATATTGTAAAATTTATAGCATGTTATTTTTTAAATGGATTATCCATTACTTAGTTGTACAGGGTATTCGAAGGAAGAATATAAAGCCTTACAACACATAAAAAAATGATTCATCCATTGGAGATTATAAAATCAATTTTCAAAGGAATTGATTAAATTTTATATATTTTTTTTTCTTTATGCTTTAATATAATTGGAATTATAATTATACTACTTATTACTTACGTTATATTATAATTGTGATGTAAAATATTGAAGAAATAATTAAATCAAGTTACAATAATCAATAAAAATACGTGTATAAAATAAAATAGACAAGATTCACATTTCTCGTATGTCAATGATAATTAAATGTAACATTTTAAATATCACTTCTTGTGAAAGAGAAAATAAAATTCTACATCCTACTATTATTCTCTTTTAATTTAAATAATATTATAATCTTTGTAATCTCATTTACTTTTATTTATAGAAATTTGGAATCAATTTTAAGTTTCAATTTGTATAACCACTTTTTAGTCCTTTTAATTAGCATCATAATTCTTTGAAGCTATTATATAATTCTGCTTTTCAATATCTATCTTGTGTTTTATTATCGTAATAATAAATCGCAATAAGACACCTACACATTGTTACGATTTAAACTCTTAATTAAATTCTATTAAGAAAATCGAGAAAATCAAATTAAAATCACCAACGACAATTAATTTGCGAATGCTCGAACGAAAATTTAAATGAAAAATAATACAAAATAAGGCAGTCATTTTAATTCAACAAATCAAACGAAACATTCTATTTTGCATAAATAAATTCTTCGATTCTTTCTCTCTTCTAAAATATAAATTTTGCATAAAAATTTGCATTTGCATCTTGCATAACGATAATCACATGACAGTTCAAGACGAGAATATTCACCTGGGTATTAACTTATCCTCGAGCATGCTTGGCAAATCGTCGGAATCTTCGTTGAGGGCGGCAAAGAAATCTTGAAACTTATCCGGGAAACTGCTTGGCGGGCAACTGTTCATGGAAATTCTATCAAGAAGCTCCGTGGAATTTTTCTCGACGGTCTCATGATGTTCTGACACGGTTGACGTTGCCATATAGTAAATCACCTAATCTAGAAATCAGTCTAACCGCGTAAAAAATTTAACTAGCCTCGAATTGTCGAAATCTCCTTCTCGTTGTCTCATCCATTCGTAATCACAAAACTTCACCGAATCTTTGAAACTTCGAACAATTTCACGAAACTTCTCCAATAAATAATTTTCAAAAACAATCTTCGAATAATTCACAATATCCAAATTTTTAAAATCCACAAATTGTTTGAAATGAAATTGAATAATCACAATATTCAAGTTTTCCAAAATAATTAGCTCCTCCTTAATGAAATTCAATCACAATATTCAAATTTTTCAAGGCCATGGAATTACATCCGTCTTCAGATCCTCTTCAGATCGTCTTCAGAGAAATCGAAAAATTACTTATCCTCCAATGATCACAATATTTTCCACGAAATTATTAGATCGTCTTCGAAGAAATGGGAGAGAATTATTCTTCCAATTAAGCTATAAGAAGAGACAAAGGATGCAGCATTGTTTCTCACGTGGGTGGAGAACAATAAACAAGAAATTCCAACGAAATTCTTCTCATCGTTTCTAACGATTCGCTCGTCGAGCCAGGGTTCGAGGATGCACAAAATACGCGACGAGATAAAACGTACGTTGTGTGAAAGAGAAGTCACGATTTTTTTTTCGAGAGAAAGAGAAAGAGCGACGATCGTTCCGCTCCTTACAAAGACCTGATGAAAACTGAAGCTCGCATGGTTGTTGCGCCTCGTTCTAGCCTCGCTAAGTGCACGAGGCTTGCGCAAACGTGACTCACCCTGAAAGCTCCCTCGAAACGATGATAACTAGGTAAAAATGATCACGCGGTCTGCAAATGTTTCTTATTTTCGTGTGTTTGAATGCGTTTGAATTGTGAGAGGAAACAGAGTCAAAAATAATCCAGGAATTATAATATTGTAAATAATTAAAAATTTGTAATCGTTATCGCAAATTTTTAACGTACAGAATATTCACGTTGTTTCAGCCTTCAATGTTTTTTTTTTCGTTTTTTTTTTTGAAAGTGGTATATTTTAGAAAAAAATAAAAGAGAAAAGGTTTCGATATTTTTGTATCTATACACGGATATATACGGTGGGTGTATATATTTTGAATATAGAGAGTGTTCATGTTATTAGCCTGTTTTTAATTTGATATGTTTTAGAAAAACTGTCTAATGATCAGAGAAAGAAATTTTAAAAATAGATAGTGTTTACGAAATAACGATAGAGCTTTTTTCAAATGTCTCATATTTCTTTTTATATTTTATTATAGCGGATACTGAAAAGAATTCAAGGATTATATGATAATCGAAGAAAATAAGGTGTAATGGCAGGGTTAACAGGGAAAATAGGCATGTAGAGTGTTTCTTATAGATACGTACCTCTTCAAGGGATCAGTGGAAAACGATACAAGGGAAGCTGAGAGTTTGGATAACTCTCGTTTCAAGAGATCGAGCACTTCTTCTTTTCCTCTTTCGTTTCATTATAAATAGAACGCTTCGCGTGGAAGATAGAATTCATTGAGGACTAAATTGATCGATGCTTTAACATTGGTCTTTCTGAATGAATACTTTTTGAAGGGAAAATCCTTTTTTCTTCTCGTTTTTTCAAGATTCAGAAGTTGATGTTCAGATTAAGGAGTAGAATCATAGGCAAATCGATCCTTTGCAACTAAAATTTTGTTTGTTTGTTGGAGGAAAAACAAATTATTATCGATTGCAATTTTTTGCTTCGGTGTAAAACTTCAGGTTATCTAATTTTTTGGAGAAAAAAAAAAATAATAGTTATATTTTCTTTTTTAAAAAATAATAAAATTATATCATAAATTAAGCTTAACGAAATGATGATAAAATAATTTCAAAGAAAGATAATATTGAAATTATTCAAATTTACGATTGAAACAATTTACATTAATTCGAAAAAATTAAAATTGATTTTATCGATCGATTAAATTTATTTTAAATCGGTAATTATTAATATCATCACTTGTTAGCTTTTAATTAAAATTTTATTCCATGTATACATACATAATACGATACGATATTATATTGAATATACTTTGTTTATAATTAAATTGATTTATAGCTCGAATAATTTGACGAAGAGAATTTTAATCATTAATAGTTGATTAAGTTGGTAATTAAATAAATCTATTGAAAATTAAATAGCTATTATAATCGTATAATTACACAAAACAATTGAATTAAACAAACGTTTAATTATTTAACCACTAATTATAAAATATATAATTAAATTGACCAACATTTTAAAATCAACAATTAATATCAATAAATTCTCCATTTATATCAAAATAGAGAAAAATTTTCTATAAGAGCGAAAAGAAGAATGGCGAATTTCAAATTTGCCCGAATATAATAAGAATAATGATGGACCTGTTACTGCGTGAATTTATAACACGATCTAAGATCAAATTCTTACAAAATCTAGACTCACACGCCATCTTACATTTTCACACAACGATTATTTGTAAAATATTCTTTGTTTTATTTCGCTCCATCGCCTCGTTTATAGTTCTTCATTCTTTATGGATGAGAATATTTTGTACACGATATATCTTGTTGTCTCTCCAATTATTGTTTCAGCTTTTTCGCTTTCTTATCTCGAAACAGAATGCAAATTGTTAAGAGAATGTTAGCTCGGCTACACGGAGTTAATCTTAGCTGCCAAGATGTTATTCAGCAAAGATCGATAGCGATCAATCAGTCGAAAGAGGAAGAATTTCGAAAAGATGGAGATAAGGAAATAAAAAGAAAAGATAAAAAGATGAAGAGGTATCTTATGATTTCGAGATTGATCTCGAAAATTAAGAAGGAAGGATCTTTATGGAGAGACAGAATAAATCTTCGAATAAAATTTCTCGTGACGGTATTCGTGATTATGTAAACGGCGGATATTGTTACTTCTTCGATCGAGATTAAACAGAGGAAAACCGGAAATATCGTTTTACTTTTGATAAGATAATATATTTCGTTAATGAGCCAATATTATTAAGACGATTTTTAAAATTGCATTTTTGATTATGATTCGTTTTGACAAAATATGCAAAATAAAGAATAATTGTATGTTTTGAATATCGATCAAAGACATTCCACGAATATATCAACATCCTATATTTACATATACTGCAATGTGTACGAACGAAATATAGAATCCTCTTTCTTGGAAATATAATTAATAATTATATTAATCTTTTCCAATAATTCTTAAGAAAAAAATTTGAATCTATTATTTCTATCTGAATTAGTAAAATTATACCATGACTTTAATATTCAACAAATAATAAGGAGAACCTTTGAAGAATCTAAGATATTACAAATTGTAGAAATATGTTATTGGTCGATCGGTCTCCTTGTTTTTCTCAAGGATTACAACGAGTACAACTCTTTAATAAAAAAAAAAAAAAAAACAAGTGTCAAATTTCTCCCTTAAGTCCATAAATCGAGCTCACCATCGGCTCAACATCATCTTTGTGTCAGCAGCGCAAAGTGAAGCCCGATAAAAAAGGGTTGACGACGAGGCACGACAAGGAGGATTATAAGAGGAGGTAAGGAAGAACCGGGAAAGACTTATTCATAGATCAGTGGCCCTTTCGAGAGTTCGACTTTGGAGAAAGAGACCCGCTTTCAAGACAATGGAATCCTATCTTTAGACTTCACTTAACATGTCGAAAGAGAAAGTGTGTCAGCGACACCTACCCCGATGGAGATAGCGAGAGGATCGAAAAACTATCAGGATCGTTTTCTTTTATTTTTAATTAATCATCTATAAACAGAATTTGAAAATGAAAATAAAGTGGAAAGTGCGATATTGGCTATATCGTTCCACTTCGAATGAGATCAGAAACTATTGTGATATTACTATGATTATTGTGAATAATTACTATGATTAGATTGATTGTAAGTACTTGGTACTTGTGTGAAAAAATATATAAAATAATATTTCAGTGACGTATAAGAGAAATAATTATTTAAACGTTTTATACGTGGAATTAATTTTGCATGCAAGAATTAATTTAAAGTATATTTATTAATTAATTGATTATCAAATGAGGTAATTTTTCATTTTATTTTTTTATTTAGATATTTATTGGAGAAAATTTTTTCATAATTCATGGTTTTATTATGTGAACTAACATATATATACTTTCGAGCCTGTAAATTTCAAATATTGGCAAGGAAAGTATTCAAGCATTTTATTTGATAAATTTAAATATTCCTTTTCTTTTAAGTATTTTACTCACCAGCTTCTTATACATATTTAAATTTATAGTCATACCAGTTCTAAAATTTTACTACTCTGTTATTGCTCTTTGGAGAATAAACTTATATATACAGATAAAAGCTTATAAACCGTAAATTATAATTATATTTAAGAAAGAAATTTAATAAAAAAGAAATGACCTGCAGTAAAAAATTATTTTTTTAAACAAAATTTTAATATTTTTTCAAAAATATACTCTTATTTTAATATAATTAAAATATTTTATTTTCACAACAATATGTTTGAATATAAAATATTTTCTAATATTCCAATTCAATAATTGCATTGTATATTACAATTTTTAAAATTTTTTCGTATTTACATATCAAACACGATATCACAACACGATATTAGAGAATCCGATATAAATGTTTTCAAATGGATCAAACACTGTGCACATACATTAAACAGAACTTTCAATATGTATAACAAGGTGTCTGAAGTATTTGAATAATGGGAGTTTGACTATGAGAGATTCTATTGTACATGCAATGTCAAATGATATGAATCTACACCGTAGTGATAATTAACTGTAAAGCTGAACAATACAATCATCTCATACAGCTTCGTATATCAAACGATGGCATTGAATGTTACAACCTTGGTGTATTCGACATGGATTGTTTGCACCATGAATTGACAATGAAATTAACAATTGATTTCGACATGGATCAATTGAATTGATTATAAAAAGAATATAATTTTTAATATAATCTAAAAATTGAATATTCTAAAAATTGGGTATTTTATATTACAGAATTTGAAAGAAGAGAGAAATAAAAAATAAAAATTTATTTTACGAAGAATAATAACAAGTAAAACTTGGAAAAATATAATTAAAATAATTGAATACTTTATTTCGTGTTACAATTAACACAAAATTTTTATCATTTTATTTAAATAATGAAATTTCTTTTGTATTTCCTATTTCATTATTTACTTATTTATTTTTAATTTAATTAATTTTAACATCATCGAGTGCAATAATTATTTATTCTATT